CCATGTCCCTCTGTCTCCTCTCGTGTCCCTCTGTCCCCCCCGTGTCTGTCACTTCTCGTGTCCCTGTGTCACCCCATGTCCCTGTGTCACCCCATGTCCCTGTGTCACCCCATGTCCCTCTGTCACCTCTCGTGTCCCTCTGTCACCTCTCGTGTCCCTCTGTCCCCCCTGTGTCTGTGTGTCACTTCTCGTGTCCCTGTGTCCCCCCCATGTCCCTCTGTCACCTCTCGTGTCCCTCTGTCCCCCCCGTGTCCGTCACCCCCTGTGTCTGTCAGTGACCTCTCATGTCCGTGTCCCCTCCATGTCCGTGTGTCACCTCTCGTGTCCCTCTGTCACCTCCCGTGTCTGTCACCCTCCGTGTCCCTCTGTCCTCCCCGTGTCCCTCTGTCCTCCCCATGTCCGTCTGTCACCCCCTGTGCCTGTCAGTCTCCTCTCATGTCCCCGTGTCACCTCCCGTGTCCATGTGACATCTGTGTCTGTCCCCTCTGTGTCCCTCACTGTCCCCAACGTCCCCTCACTGTCCCCACTGTGTATGGACCAGTACACACCAGTACGGACCAGTATGGGCCAGTATGGACCAGTACAGACCAGTATGGGCCAGTATGGACCGGTATAGACCAGTATGGGCCAGTACAGGCCAGTGTGAACCAGTATAACCAGTACAGACCAGTACAGCTCAGTATGGACCAGTATAGCCAGTATGGACCAGTATGGACCAGTACAGACCAGTATAACCAGTATGGACCAGTATGACCAGTATGGACCAGTACAGGCCAGTGTGAACCACTATAGACCAGTATAAACCAGTACAGACCAGTATAACCAGTATGGACCGGTACAGACCAGTACAGAGGAACTGAGAGGGAACTGGGAGGGAACTGGGAGGAACTGAGAGGGAACTGGGAGGGAACTGGGAGGAGACTGGAGACACTGGGGGGGACTGGGAGGGAACTGGGAACACTGGGGACACTGGGGGGGACTGGGATGGGAACTGGGACAAACTGGTGGCCCCACGTGTGAGGCTGACCCCTGGGTGACCCCTGGGTGACCCCGGGTGGGCGTGTCCCTGTCCCCAGGTGGGCGTGGTCAGCTGGGGCGTGGTCCCCGCCTGCCGCCAGCCGCGCTCGCCGTCCTTCGCCCGCGATTTCCACGTCAGCCTCTTCGAGGTGCTGCCCTGGCTGCGGGAGCGGCTGCGCCACGAGGACCTGGGCTTCCTGCCCTGACACACCTGGGCACACCTGGGGGCACCTGGGGGCATCCTGGACACACCTGGATACACCTGGAACCATCCTCAACACACCTGGGGACATGTGGGGGCACCTGGGGGAACTTGGGCACACCTGGGGGCACCTGGGACACACCTGAGATACACCTGGGGCACCTGGGCACACCTGGGGGCACCTGAAACCATCCTGGATACACCTGGGGGCACCTGGGACACACCTGGAACCATCCTGGATACACTTGTGCACACTTGGGGACATCCTGGACACACCTGAGATACACCTGGGCACACCTGGATACACCTGGGGGCACTTGAGATACACCTGGGGGCACTTGAGATACACCTGGGCACACCTGCGGGCACCTGGGGACATCCTGGAACCATCCTGGATACACCTGGGGCACCTGGGATACACCTGGAACCATCCTGGACACACCTGGAACCATCCTCAACACACCTGGGGGCACCTGGAACCATCCTAGACACACCTGGGGGCACCTGGGCACACCTGGCATACACCTGAGATACACCTGGGCACACCTGGATACACCTGGAACCATCCTCAACACACCTGGGGACATGTGGGGGCACCTGGGGGAACTTGGGCACACCTGGGGGCACCTGGGACACACCTGAGATACACCTGGGGCACCTGGGCACACCTGGGGGCACCTGAAACCATCCTGGATACACCTGGGGGCACCTGGGACACACCTGGAACCATCCTGGATACACTTGTGCACACTTGGGGACATCCTGGACACACCTGAGATACACCTGGGCACACCTGGATACACCTGGAACCATCCTCAACACACCTGGGGACATGTGGGGGCACCTGGGGGAACTTGGGCACACCTGGGGGCACCTGGGACACACCTGAGATACACCTGGGGCACCTGGGCACACCTGGGGGCACCTGAAACCATCCTGGATACACCTGGGGGCACCTGGGACACACCTGGAACCATCCTGGATACACTTGTGCACACTTGGGGACATCCTGGACACACCTGAGATACACCTGGGCACACCTGGATACACCTGGGGGCACTTGAGATACACCTGGGGGCACTTGAGATACACCTGGGCACACCTGCGGGCACCTGGGGACATCCTGGAACCATCCTGGATACACCTGGGGCACCTGGGATACACCTGGAACCATCCTGGACACACCTGGAACCATCCTCAACACACCTGGGGGCACCTGGAACCATCCTAGACACACCTGGGGGCACCTGGGCACACCTGGCATACACCTGAGATACACCTGGACAGACCCCGACCACAACCCGGCTGTTCCTGTCGCCCCCAGGTGACAATGAACGTGTCCCTGTCCCCCCAGGTGACAATGAACGTGTCCTTGTCCCCTCCAGGTGACAATAAATGTGTCTTTATCCCCTGTCAGGTGACAATAAACGTGTCCCTGTCCCCTCCAGGTGACAATAAATGTGTCTTTATCCCCTACCAGACTCTGGGGACAGCACACACCTGAGACACCTGGGGACACACCTGAGGTACCTGGGGACACCTGAGATACACCTGAGATACACCTGGGGACAGCTGGAACCATCCTGGACACACCTGGGGGCACCTGGGATACACCTGGACACACCTGGACACACCTGGACAGACCCCGACCACAACCCGGCTGTTCCTGTCGCCCCCAGGTGACAATGAACGTGTCCTTGTCCCCTCCAGGTGACAATAAATGTGTCTTTATCCCCTGTCAGGTGACAATAAAGGTGTCCTTGTCCCCTCCAGGTGACAATAAACGTGTCTTTATCCCCTGTCAGGTGACAATAAAGGTGTCCTTGTCCCCTCCAGGTGACAATAAATGTGTCTTTATCCCGTCAGGTGACAATAAACTTGTCTTTATCCCCTACCAGGTGACAATAAATGTGTCCCCACGCTCCCAGGTGACAATAAACGCGTCCCTGTCCCCCCCAGGTGACAATAAAGTGTCCTTTTCACACCAGGTGACAATAAATGCCTCTGTGTCCCCCCCAGGTGACAATAAAGTGTCCTTTTCACACCAGGTGACAATAAAATGCGTTGTTCTTCTGCCAGGTGACAATCCACGCGCCCCCGTCCCCCACCAGGTGACACCACCCAGGTGTCCCACCCCCCCAGGTGTCACACAGCGCCCCACAGGTGTGACACAGGTGTGACAGATGCCACCCCCTAGGTGTCCCCGGTGTCCCCAGCTGTCCCCGTGTCCCCAGGTGTCACAGAGTGTCACACAGGTGTCCCCAGGTGTGACACAGCTGTGTCCCAGCTGTCCCCGTGTCCCCGCTGTCCGTCACTGTCCCCAGCTGTCCCAGGTGTGACACAGGTGTGTCACAGCTGTCCCCAGGTGTGACCCAGGTGTCCCTCACTGTCCCCCGAACAGGTCCTCGTTGTCCCCGATGTCCCCAGGTGTGACCCAGGTGTGTCACAGGTGTGACCCAGGTGTGACACAGCTGTCCCCATGTCCTGGTGTCCCCATGTCTGTCACTGTCCCCCAAACAGGTCCTCGTTGTCCCCGTGTCCCCGATGTCCCCAGCTGTCCCCAGGTGTGACCCAGGTGTGTCACAGGTGTGACCCAGGTGTGACACAGCTGTCCCCATGTCCTGGTGTCCCCATGTCTGTCACTGTCCCCCAAACAGGTCCTCGTCCCCGTGTCCCCGATGTCCCCAGCTGTCCCCAGGTGTGACCCAGGTGTGTCACAGGTGTGACCCAGGTGTGACACAGCTGTCCCCATGTCCTGGTGTCCCCATGTCTGTCACTGTCCCCCAAACAGGTCCTCGTCCCCGTGTCCCCGATGTCCCCAGCTGTCCCCAGGTGTGACCCAGGTGTGTCACAGGTGTGACCCAGGTGTGACACAGCTGTCCCCATGTCCTGGTGTCCCCATGTCTGTCACTGTCCCCCAAACAGGTCCTCGTCCCCGTGTCCCCGATGTCCCCAGCTGTCCCCAGGTGTGACCCAGGTGTGACCCAGGTGTGTCCCTCACTGTCCCCCGAACAGGTCCTCGTTGTCCCCGTGTCCCCAGGTGTGTCACAGGTGTGTCACAGGTGTGTCACAGGTGTGACCCAGGTGTGACCCAGGTGTGTCACAGGTGTGACACAGCTGTCCCCAGGTGTGACCCAGGTGCGTCCCTCACTGTCCCCCGAACAGGTCCTCGTTGTCCCTGTGTCCCCAGGTGTGTCCCTGGTGTCCCCGATGTCCCCAGGTGTGTCACAGCTGTCCCCAGGTGTCCCTCACTGTCCCCCGAACAGGTCCTCGTTGTCCCCGTGTCCCCAGCTGTCCCCAGGTGTGACACAGGTGTGTCACAGGTGTCACACAGGTGTGCCCCAGGTGTCCCTCACTGTCCCCCGAACAGGTCCTCGTTGTCCCCGTGTCCCCAGGTGTGTCACAGGTGTGTCACAGGTGTGTCACAGGTGTGCCCCAGGTGTGCCCCTCACTGTCCCCCGAACAGGTCCTCGTTGTCCCCAGGTGTGTCCCAGGTGTGTCACAGGTGTGTCACAGGTGTGTCCCAGGTGTGCCCCGGACCCCAGCATGGCACCCACACCCCCAGCTCACCCAGGGACCCCCAGAGCCCCCCCAGGCCCCCCAGCTCACCCAGGGACCCCCAGAGCGATTTGCCGGTGGCCGCGTCCAGCAGCGGCTGCTTGCGGGCGATGGAGACCTTGAGCTGCACGTCCTGCACCACGGCCCCGTTCAGCTGGGCACGGGGCAAAACCAGGGGAGATCAGGCCAAAAACAGCACAAATCACAGCAAAAAACAGCACAAATCAGCACAAATCACAGCCAAAAACAGCACAAATCAGCACAAATCACAGCCAAAACAGCACAGATCAGACCCAAAATCACAGCTGAAAAATTCAGCACAAATCAGAGCCAAAAACCAGCACAGATCAGACCAAAACCAGCAGAAATCGGACACAAAAAACAGCCACAAAATTCAGCACAAATCAAACCAAAACCAGCACAAATCAGAGCCAAAAACCAGCACAGATCAGACCCAAAATCGCAGCTGAAAAATTCAGCACAAATCAGAGCCAAAAATTGGCCAAATCACAGCCAAAACAGCCCAATCATACCTAAACCGCCCCCCGAAGCCCCCAGCCCCACCTCGGCCATGGCCTGGTCGGCCGACTCCATCTTCTCAAAGGTGACGAAGGCGCAGCTGAGGGGGCACGAGGAGGGGGCGTGGTCATGGCAGGCCACGCCCACACAGCCCATGGCCACGCCCACAGCGGGGGCACCACCCACTTTGGCCACACCCCAACCCTGCCCCACCCCATTGAGCTCCTCCCACATTTGACTCCGCCCACATTTGGCTCCTCCCACTGGTGACCACGCCCTTTCTGGCCCCACCCACAGCCTATAACCACACCCGCTTAGCCCCTCCCACAGCCACACCCTTGTGTGCCACACCCAAAGCCCCACCCATTTGTGGGGTGTGTCCATTGATATGTCGATGATGTCACCATGACCACACCCACCCAGGCCCCGCCCACCCGAAGCCCCACCCACTTCCGGGGCGTGTCCATGGAGAGGTCGATGATGGCGCCGAAGGGGCCGAAGGCTCCGCGCAGCAGCTCCGGGCTGAGCTCGGCGCCGTGCACGTAGAGAGTGTTCCCCTTGCGGGGGGGGCGGCGCTCGGGGAACGAGTCTGACCCTGGGAGAGACCCCCGAAATGGGGAGGGACC